TTCAATGTGGGTGCAAATCTTGTCTTTTCTTTCTCACTCTTAACTAACTGAAACCTTTCAGGGGTGGGGTGGGGGGTATGCCCCCCACACCCCCGTTGCCGAGCTTAAAAAACTGGTACCTTTTGCACGTACGAGCACGTGCACATGCACCCTCAGGCACGCGCGTTCACTCATCCGAAAAGGGGCACTTCCGGGCCATGCGGTCCCACTGCGCACGCTCTGTCTTCTCCTAGCGGGATGTGTTTTACAAAAGTACAGGCTAAAGTCGCCTCTACGCCTTTTTGGAAAGGTCCAGAGCCTTTATACATAGCATATGCCAAGCAGACTTAGTGCGAGATAAATAATGAGTAGCCTTAGAATTTAACATTTACAGTATAAAGAGACACACAGGTCAGTACCTTCGCTATTAAAAACAAATCCCGCAAAGCTGCTTCTAACACAAACATTTATCTTTCAGATCAGTGTCTAAAAAGCACCATTAGAAAAACGACCCTGCATTTAAAAAAGTAACTCCTGTTTGTATATATTCACACTGAAAACCAAAACGCACACGGTGGTTGATAAACAAGATTAAAATAATATATGGCACATCTATGTTTTAAAGATGGCATCAAAAATCAATGTGTATTTTGTCTAAAAATATGAAATTTAGACTGTCAAATACACAAACTAACGTGCGGGTGTCAGGCTCAAGGAAGGAGTTCGCTGGCTCTTATCAACCTTTATCCCTCTCCCCCACCCTCAAAAACAGACAAAAAGCAGTTCATCTCCCCATTTCTTGAGATACACAGCGTCTTAAAGTCTGAAACAGCCAACAACGCTCAGTTGTTAGAAACAATGCAACAAGGTTGGGTAGTCGTTTAACTAACCGTCGAAAATCTGCTTATAAAACACACTGCCGTTTCAGCTCGATTGTCTGACAACAAAAGCCTTTCTATAGTGTCAGTGTAAAAAGACAAAGTAATTCCTGTTTGTATATATTTACCATGAAAAGCCAAAATGCCAACAGCGGCTGATGAACCTTATTAAAACACATCCCGCTAGGAGAAGACAGAGCGTGCGCAGTGGGACCGCATGGCCCGGAAGTGCCCCTTTTCGGATGAGTGAACGCACGTGCCTGAGAGTGCATGTGCACGTGCTTGTACGTGCAAAAGATGCCAGTTTTTAAGCTCGGCAACGGGGGTGTGGGGGGCATACCCTCCCCCACCCCTCCCCTCACCCCTCCTCCCCTTGTAGAGCAAAATTTAGTGTTTTGGTCTAGATTTGGTCTAGGCCTAGACATTAAAACTTACTTTTTAATGTTTTTTGCATAATTATGTGTGTGCAATTTGTGCAGTTTTGTAAATCCTCTGTGTTTACATTCATAAAAGCATCTCTTTTTTTAACAGTGATACCTCATCTATGATATTCTTGATTTGGTTGGATGTGAAGTTGTTTTTTCTTTTAAACAAAAGAAATAATTCCATCATCGTGCACTTTAGTTATCTTGAAGTCTTTGGGGCCTTTTGGTGTTGCTGAGCTGCTCAGTGAAAGTACCAGATTTTTGATTTGCCTACTCCTGAAGTTTTTTCTACTACTTTGATTTAATTTGTTTGTTTGTTTTTGTTTGTTTTGTTCAGCTTAATCATGGATCCCTCAGTTGCACTGACATCTCTTTGGGCCTCATATTCTAAAGTGAAAAATGAAAAGCTATAAAAAGAATCAACAGTATGAAGCAATTTCATTTTTCATGAAATCATGATGGAACAGACCTCATCTGGCTATGAAACAACTTACCTAATTGTCCCATTACCTGTGAGCAAATGAGAGACAAGGTAATTCCCAAATATTTTTCTTAAACCCGTTGAATCAAAGCCAGACATCTGTAAAAACAACAATTCTTTCCGCTAAAATGTTTACTTTTGTTTTGTAGACTGCAGCCATGTTTGCTGCTAGTAATCTGCAACCTGAAGATCAGTTTCTGTGCTCCATCTGCCTGGATGTGTTCACTGATCCAGTCACCACACCATGTGGACATAACTTCTGCAAAAACTGCATCACCCGGAACTGGGACATTAATGTTAGGTGCAAGTGTCCCCTATGTAACAAACTGTTCAAGAGACGACCTCAACTGGAAATAAACACTTTGTTCTCTGAGGTAGTTGCTCAGTTCAGAGATGAAGCTCAACAGAATGCAAGCAGCAGCTCAGAGCAACAAGCTGCCAAACCAGGAGAAGTTCCCTGTGACTACTGCACTGGAACCAGACTGAGGGCCCTGAAGTCCTGCCTGGTGTGTCTGACCTCCTACTGTGAGACTCACCTAGAACCTCATCTGACAGTCAAAGGTCTGAAAAGACATCAGCTGATTGAGCCTGTGGAGAACCTGGAAGGCAGGATGTGTATGAAGCACGATAAACATCTGGAGCTGTTCTGTAAGACCGATCAGACAAGTGTCTGCACGCTCTGCTCTGTTTTAGACCACAAGACTCATGAGTTTGTACCTCTGAGAGAAGAATCTGAAGAAAAGAAGACAGAGCTGAGGAAAATGGATGATGAAATTCAGCAAATGATCGAGAAGAGACGACAGAAGATTCAGGAGATCAATGAGTCAGTGAAGATGAGTAAAGATGCTGCAGACAAACAGAAAACAGAAGGTGTTCAGATCTTCACTGTTCTGAAGGAGTTTATTGAGAAAGACCTGAAGAAGGTCATAAAGGAGATAGAAGACAAACAGGAAACAACAGAGAAACAGGCTGAAGGTCTCATCAAAGAGCTGGAACAGGAAATCTCCGAGTTGAAGAAGAGGAGCTCTGAGCTGAAGCAGGCCTCACGCTCTGAAGACCACCTCCACTTTGTTCAAAACTTTTCATCTCTGAAAGCTGTTCCACCTACCAAGGACTGGACAGAGGTCATTGTCCTTCCACCAACGTATGAGGGGACTGTGATGAGAGCTGTGGCTCAGCTGCAGGAGACACTCAAAAAACATTTTAAGAAGCTGCTTGCTAAGGCTGAGCTGAGGAGGCTCCAGCAGTATGCTGTGGATGTGAGTCTTGATCCTGATACAGCACATCCTGAGCTCATCTTGTCTGATGATGGGAAACAAGTGAATTTTGGTAATGTGAATCAGAGTCTATCAGACAATCCAAAGAGATTCACAGTTTTTGCAAATGTTTTAGGAAAGCAGGGTTTCTCTTCAGGCAGATTTTACTTTGAGGTTCAGGTTAAAGGAAAGACTGACTGGATTTTAGGAGTCGCCAGAGAGTCAGTGAACAGGAAGGGAGGAAACTCAGTAAAGCCTCAGGATGGTTTCTGGGCTCTATGGCTGAGGAACAACAACGAGTACACAGCATGTACTGGCCCAGCAGCCGTTCTCTCTTTTCAGTCTGCTCCTGATAAAGTGGGAGTGTTTGTGGATTATGAGGAGCGTCTGGTCTCCTTTTATGATGTGTATGCAGCAGCCTTTATCTACTCCTTTACTGGCTGCTCCTTCACTGAGAAACTTTACCCATGTTTCAATCCCTGTAATAATGATAATGGTAAAAACTCTGCACCTCTTGTGATCACTCCTATCAATCGCATTAACTAGACAAGAAAGGTTATTACATTTTATTTGAAAGTGGTCTGTGAAAAGATTGTAATACTGTTTAATTCTTCTCTTTGACAACATGTTTCTCAATACTGAATTTTCATAATTTCACACTCCCCCACAATTACATTCTTCTCCCTTTAAGAGGGAAAACAGGACGTCTAGTCTAGTGTCGTTTAAACCAAAGGAGCAAAAACATTTAGGAAATGTCCTTGTAGCCAATCAGCCAATCTGTAATTATGTCTCCAATAATGATGTGTTTCAATGCTGTCTCCACCATAGGACATGTTTTCTCAATCATCATGTGCCTGTCTGTATATTTTTTATATATATGTTTTGTACACAGGTCTCTCTTGAAAAAGAGGGCTTGATCTCAATGAAATTATCTATTTAAATAAAAGATTTAATAATGATAAACAGACTTTCTTTACATTAACAGGATAAACCTTAAACCCCAGTCAGAGACAACAGTCAATGGTTGTTACTTTCTTTGCACTCAGATAAATAACAGCATTGATGCATCAAAAATGTATTGTATATTATATAAAATCTTATACTCTATATATCACATATAAAAATCATTATTATAACACGTGACTTTTCTTATGTCCCTTGAAATACTGTTTTTAAGAAAAATCATGACACAGGTGACCTGAACCTTTGTGTAATATCTATTAGGAATAATATATTTCCTCTATTTTATTCAGGGGAATCTATGATGGTCGAGATGGAAGTATTTGATGACCTCTCATGAAATGACCCATAAGAACCATTTCAACATTTTCTGCATCAAGAAATGAATGTTTGCAAATTCCACTGTTAATGTAGTTTGTACTGCAGGTGCAGCAGGTGTTCATTGGCGGTGTTAGTAAGAGTGATCTCATCAGGTTGAGCATATAAAAGCTAATACTATAAAAAGTATTGTGGTAACACACTACATGAAACACAGTACAAAACAAAAGTGTTTTTCCTTTTCGACCTAATAATCAATAATATCATTAAATCTACTGAAAAGGAACTATTAGATAATGTTGAGTCATTTTTAGATATGTAGCAATAAAAATGTGTGCAACGGAGGGTTAAACACAAAGGCAGGAAAAGTTAGGCACTGTGGTGTTTACGAAAAGAAAATGCACCAATCAAATTTGCTGCTGGACTTTTACACCTTTCATTTCACACTGACATGTCAGAATAACTCAAGTAGCATTAACATAAACTGTAAACAATCAAAGTTAAAAAATTCTGTTCTTATTGTTCACGAAACTCTTCATGTGGAGGGATGAAGGACTGGAAACTTCCAATTCAGTTTGTGACAAATGTCTTCACTTTTTTGGAGAAAGTTGTAAGCACTAGCGCCTTCATATGATCCATCCATCTCAACACCCTGTTTGGCTTTTGTTGACCACTTTGAGCCTGTCTCTCCTTATTAGAACAGTTCATTTCCAGTATAAACCCATCAGGATTCCCCTTTGATGTTATTCCTCCTCAACTCCTTAAGAAGGTTTTTCCTACCCTTGGTCCTTTTATTCTTGCCATTATTAACAGTACATTGACCTTTTGTAAAAATATTTTTGGGCAATTCTTGCTGACAAAAACAGGCCTTGACCATTCTGTTTTGTTTCAGGGGCTGTCTCCAGGCTACCTTTCTTTTCTAAACTCCTACAAAAAATTGCTTTTACCCAACTGAAGTCCTTCCTGGGTGAATGTGCAATTCTGGAAGTGTTCCAGCCAGGACTAAAAGCTCACCAAAGCAATCAGTATGTTTTATTAAGGCTTTTTTAATGTTATATTTTTTAGCAATAGCTTCTGGTGACTGTGTGCTACTTGTGCTTTTGGACTGAACAGCTGCCTTTTAACGCTGTGTTCCTCGAGATCCGCGTGTCCAGGGTGGAGCAGTGGGTGGGCATCACTGGCTCAGCTCTCCAATGGTTTAGGACCCACCTTTCTGATAGAACCTTTACCTACACCTCTGCTGCCCTCCTCTGGCGGGATTACACAAGGCTCTATTCTTGGAACTGTCCTTTTCTATTTGTACCTGTTACTACTTGGAATAATTTTACAGAAAAATAATATTTGCTTCCATTATTATGCAGACGACTGTCAAATTTATTTTCCATTGATGCAAATTGCAGCATCCTCTCTCATCAGTGCTTTGATCACCAGTGACCTGCCTACTCAGCATACTGTCAAACTGGTCATGGTGGAAGATGTTGAAGGTCCAGACTTTCTGTTGCATGTCCTCAGTGTGACCCTCCTTTCATCTGTGAAGACAACCGGCACACCATTGGACAACCTGCTGGTTCTAGTGTTCACAAGTAAATGTCAATCAAGCTGCACGGCTCTGCACAGGACCCACTAAAGGACGTCAGTCCCTCATGCCACCCTCACAGAGTCTGTTTCTGACAGTTTGGTACTGCTGGGTTTATACACTCATCCTTGCCCATCTCTTCTTGTGTAACAGCCTTAGTATCTCCTCAATAGGACTGAAAGATTATGAATTTAACTGAGTCTGTGATCGAGTGTTACCTTCATTTTTCTAGCACTTTATAATCATCTGTGGACCTGAAAGAGGAACCAAAACCTTAACAAACACCTGCAGGAAGAGTTGGAGAAATAATAGGAAATTAAACGTCAAATTCTTGAAATGAAACTTAATGTTAGTGTGAGTAATAGCAGTAATAACAGTACTACAGCTGAAAGCTCTGGATTTGTGTCTCAAAATCAAACAGTGTTCATCTTTTGTTTCTAAGCAAGTGACTCAAATACTGGTGAGTACAGAACGAGCCACACTAACTCAAAACTTCACTTATACTGTAAGTGCTAAAATTTTAAGAGTACACATTTTTTACAGTGGTTTGTTTTAATTATCTATATTAAATTAAACTTAACTCTCATGAATGTTTCTTCTTCTTTTTTTAAGTCTCAGAAATGTTGTTGAATTCAAATTCAAAATCAGCTAATTTTTCTCTTAGAGTGATACTTTTTTTCTGTCAGCTTACACATGATGCATAGTGTTTTGTTTGCATTTGACAAGCAGACCTGATTTTTATTTTTTGGAATTATATCGCATATTTTGGATTTTACAACATTTGCTGTTGAAAAGATGCTGAGAAAGTGTTCTCCTTAAACACTGAGCAACCACCTATACCACATGGTGACATAAGCTTTCAAAATGTAGCCAGAATTGCCTTTTTTAAGTTTCCTCCAGTGAATGATCAGAAAACACATTGAAAATACAGGGTACCGATACTTGTTTCTGTTTCTCTACGTCACCAACATTAAACTGGTGCAATTTATCAATATCCTGATATCCCACGATGCTGATCCTCAAAGTATGCTACAGAAAAATCATGACACCAGTGTAGAATTCAATTGAATGTAATTTTTTCAATGCTGAAAATGGCATGCTTCAGTCTCCTCCTATATCCATATGAAGTTATGAGTGTTAAAAGTTGCTGCAAAAATCTTGAAACTTTAAGAGTGCCAAATTCCAATTCACCCCCACTTACTTAAGAACCAGGAAGAACCATATGCATGGCTTTATAAATATATTAAAGATATTTTACTGGAAAAAACGGCTGAAGAGAGATGATGAATGATTTTCCATGGACTAAACTATGACTAGAATTAAAGAAGTGGTTATGAAACCAAACATAGTCACACTCTCATCTGAAACAGTGCAGGATAACATGAGAAATTTATTTAAACTTGTAAACAAACATAAAGTCCTGGGATTAACTTCTTAGACCTGATTGATATAACACAGTTCTAAAAATCCTAAAACTAGCTCGGGGTGAGTCCTCCAGTCAGGAGATTGTAGTGAACGGCAGCACTTAGTGAGTAAGCTCTACATGTAGAAACATAAAGTGAGTGTGTAGGTGATGTCTCTGAGTGGATTACTCTACTCTTAAATTATTTGATGTGATTCTGTGATTTTTGGACTCCATGCAACATAAGATAGTTATACCTTGAAGATTTTTTCAAGTTCTTTGTCTCATCTGAAATTGCTGTCATGATCCCACTTCGACAGTTCTAAACCACTCACAGAAAATTGTTAGACTTTAACTTATCATGCTTTGACTTTTGTTCCCAGAGTGCAGATATGTTTGCTGCCAGTAATCTGCGATCTGAAGATCAGTTTCTGTGCTCCATCTGTCTGGATGTGTTCGCTGATCCAGTCACCACACCATGTGGACATAACTTCTGTAAGAAGTGTATCACTCAGCATTGGGATAGAAATGCTCCTTGTCAGTGCCCCATGTGCAAAGAGGCTTTCTACTGTAGACCTCTGTTGAAGGTTAACACTTTGTTCTCTGAGGTAGTTGCTCAGTTCAGAGGTGAAACTCAACAGAAAGCCAAGAGGAGCAGCTCAGAGCAACAAGCTGCCAAACCAGGAGAAGTTCCCTGTGACATCTGCACTGGAACCAGACTGAGGGCCCTGAAGTCCTGCCTGGTGTGTCTGACCTCCTACTGTGAGACTCACCTGGAACCTCATCTGACAGTCAAAGGTCTGAAAAGACATCAGCTGATTGAGCCTGTGGAGAACCTGGAAGGCAGGATGTGTATGAAGCACGATAAACATCTGGAGCTGTTCTGTAAGACCGATCAGACAAGTGTCTGCACGCTCTGCTCTGTTTTAGACCACAAGACTCATGAGTTTGTACCTCTGAGAGAAGAATCTGAAGAAAAGAAGACAGAGCTGAGGAAAATGGATGATGAAATTCAGCAAATGATCGAGAAGAGACGACAGAAGATTCAGGACATCAATGAGTCAGTGAAGATGAGTAAAGATGCTGCAGACAAACAGAAAACAGAAGGTGTTCAGATCTTCACTGTTCTGAAGGAGTTTATTGAGAAAGACCTGAAGAAGGTCATAAAGGAGATAGAAGACAAACAGGAAACAACAGAGAAACAGGCTGAAGATCTCATCAAAGAGCTGGAACAGGAAATCTCAGAGCTGAAGAAGAGGAGCTCTGAGGTGAAGAATCTAATATGCTCTGAAGACCACCTCCACTTTATTCAAAGCTTCTCATCTCTGAAAGCTGTTCCACCTACCAAGTACTGGACTGAGGTCATCGTCCTTCCACCAACGTATGAGGGGACTGTGATGAGAGCTGTGGCTCAGCTGGAGGAGACACTGAGGATAGAAATGAAGAAGCTGTTTGAGGCTGAGCTGAGGAGGGTCCAGCAGTATGCTGTGGATGTGAGTCTTGATGCTGATACAGCACATCCTGAGCTCATCTTGTCTGATGATGGAAAACAAGTGAATCATGGAGATGAAAAGCAGAATCTTCCAGACAACCCGGAGAGATTTTCTTACTGTGTTTGTGTTTTAGGAAAGCAGAGTTTCTCTTCAGGCAGATTTTACTATG